GAATTTTATACAATGAGCCAACCAAACTAATTGGTCTATAATCAGCTAAACCCACCGGATTCTCCTTCTTAGGGACCAAAGTGATAAAAGAACTATTGATCCCTTTAACCAACTTACTATTTTTATGAAATTCACTCAAAAAATTGACCACATCACTCTTCATTACCTTCTACATCTTTTAGATACATGCCAAGTTAAACCCATCTAGGCCTGGAGCCTTATTGCCATTACAATCCTTGACAGCACAACTTATCTCTGCCTCAAAAAAAAATGGGTTGTTCCTTACTGACTTGAATGATCCCTCCAAAACAAGTCTCGATCTCCACTGCTCTGTGAATTGTCTTTGAAAATATACTTGAACCTCTTTCTTTATTTTATTTGGATCTTCAAAAACCTCATCTCCTATAGATAATGAGTTTATCTCATTTCTCCCCTATCTACAATTGACTACCACATGGAAATGTCTTGAATTTTTGTTTTCCTTTAAGCCCCAATTCAGTCTTGATTTTTGAAGCCACATCCACCCCACCATTCTATACAGTCTGCAAATTTCATCACTAACCTCTCTTCTTCTAGCTTTTTCTGCCTCTTCAAGCTCTCTTTCCTCTACTACCAGATCAATCTTATGCAACTCATCCTTTGCTTGCTTCAGTTTAGTATTTACATTTCCAAATACTTCACTATTCCACTGTTTCAGAAATAGCTTGAACTCTGTCATCTTCTTAAATAATCTGAATCTAGCCCATCCCTCAACATCATGCTCCTTCCACAACTTTTCCACAAAAGGTAAGAAATTTGGATGTAGTGTCCATGCATTTAAAAACCTAAAGGGCCTGGGGCCCCAATCTCTCTCATCCTCTATCAATAATAAAGGGCTATGATCAGACAATGCTCTAAGTAACCCCTACAACTTTCGATTAAATGATTCCAACCATTTTGGTTCCACTAATACCCTGTCAATTCTGCTCCATTTTTCCCCATTCCCTTGAGTTGCACCATGTATATCTTCTACCTAACTGGGGTAGATCATTCACCTCACTTTTATCAATGAATTCATTCAGCTCCTTTATACCCTTATCCCTTCTAGAACACCTTTTTCTCTCACCAATGTTTCTGATTTCATTGAAGTCAATCCCCAAGCACCAAGGATTAGGGAACTCCTCCTTTAACTTCAACAAACTCTCCCATAATTTCCCTCTTTGTCCCACTGCATTGGGTGCATATAAATTTACTATAACACAATCAAAAGAAAAGAATAAAGTACCTGATAAAAGAATGAATCTTCTACTGCAGCAACATCTTGAGACCAGGAGCACTCCTAGATCCCATATACATAATAAACCACCTGCAGTTCCTTCAACATCCATTGTCATGAAATCCATCCTCTCCCTATCCCATAATTCCCTCACCTCCTTTTCTGACATAGATGCTTTCTTTGTCTCCTGAAACAATGCAATGTCAGCTCCTCTAGCTTTCATCATGCTTTTAATTTTATTCATTTTTTCCTTCCTACCCAATTCTGTCACATTCCATGATAGTATCTTTATCATTGAACATTGACACTTAACCCAGCCCCCCAATATCTACATTTTAACTTGCAGCATCAGTGTCCCTCCCATTCTTTCTTTATCCTTTGCCTCTAGATCCAATTTTTTTATAACACCTCATCTTCATTACCTTTGCATTTTACTCACAATAATTTCCCAATTTGTAAAGTTGCATAAGCCTCTTTAAGTACATTTTTGACGCAACTGTTGTTCTCCATAGTGCCCCTTTTGGACCTATTTAACTTGATGTGGCTCCTTTGTAGCCATATCTTTTTGCCAGGTAACCCGTCTTCGTCTCATTTATCTTTTTTCCATTTGATTTCCCTTTCTTTCTTTTTTTTCCTATTTCTCCAGTCTTCAACATACTCCACCTTCATGGGTCTGTGACATATCCGAACTAAATATCATAGGCCCTAATACACTTTTAGGACCACATTGTACATCAAACTTCAAAACCAAGTCTTGCACCACCACCCATTTCATCATGTTGTCCAACCCACCTGTTAGGCCCACCTCATTACTAGGGCCCAACTCCACTTTTAATTCCACCCCAGGTTTTAGTAAACTCGGACCACGTAGGCTTCTTACAAAACCTGGCGTGACAACCTAATCATCACACTTCTGACATTCCATCACAGAGCTGTTGTTTATGTTCCCAACTACCTTCATAATACCTTCTGTCCTCCCTTGAGCTCATTACCAATAGACTCTACCACCACCATTTCAGTTCTCCCAGGTAACTCCTTATCCACCTCATCACTATTCCTTTTTCCACATGTCACATCCCCTATTGACACCTCCTCAATCTGGTCCATCTTACGTGTTGACTCTTCATCCTAGTCATTATTATCTTGATCCTCATCTCTGACATTTTTCCCATCTGCAATCTTCTCACCTATGTTTGAACTGCAATTCTCTTCCCCACCATACTTCTTATTACACTTGCAACTCCCTACCATGATTTTTATTACCCCTGAATGTTGTTCCCACACTCTCACAGAATGAAAAGTACCGTTACATTCTAAATTAATGGCTTTATTGATTGGCTCCATATAGCTAGTTACTATTTAAATTTTTGTATACTCGAATTATACTGGGTTGCAAAAATCTCCTTCAATACAGATCACTTCCCCCCAAAGATTACCAATTCTATTCAATATGGTTTTATTCCATAGATTCCAAGGTAATCCATAGCAACATAACCATACCTTACGTTCTTTCACTATAACTAGCTCAGGTTCCCACTCCACTATTTCCTTACACCAGTCCTCTACCCACACCTTTATGTTCTCCAATTTTTCTTTCCTTTCCTCTTTGGATTTAAAAGTTATCAATACATCCCTACCCCCACCATCCCTCACCAATACATTGTTCATGTCCCTCTCCTAAATTTCTTCTTTATGTTGAATGTTGGTTTAAGGTGCACCACAACACTGTCATATAACCACCTATTCCCTATTTCCTCTGCCTTGATTGTAACAATTCCTCCTCCCATGTTGCCAGTGCTCCTCAGGTTTCCCCTTAGCATAATCTATATGCTTTACTTTGAGTCTCTTGTCGACCACCCGTATCCCATTGGCCTTTTGCACTGCTACTTCGACTACCACTGCACAGTCAGATGTGACGAAAGCAAATCTAGCATTCCTCACTTTCCTTCTCTTCTACGGAATGTAAACATCTTTCACTACTCCAAACTTCCTGAATATGTCAAACAACCTCTTCAGATTCATTGAGCTTGGTAGTTCATCCACAAATATTGTGAAAACTCTTGTATTTGCTTCCTTTCTCCACCCTCTCTGTCTTCCTCTCTGTTTCAACACATGGATCAATCAACCTTGCCTTTCTTCATCTGTTTCCTGTCTGCAATCCTAAGGTACATAACAAAAAGTATATCGGTTTGATATCCTTTATACATATATAACTCCCCAATCTAGCATGATCATACTAAACACGTTAAAGTCGGTTGACATTTCATCAAACAGAATCTCGAAGCCAAGATAATTCAATTACCATTTGTTAAATCTAAAGACCAACTGGCACATATACTTACAAAGGCTCTATCTAGCAAAACTTTTTACAACTCACTTGACAAGTTGGGCATTGGAGATATTTATGCACCAACTTGAGGGGAATGTTGGCATGAGTTGTCAATGAAGAGATAATTGGAGAAATTATAGGATTAGTTTATTTTGGAATCCCTTATTTCAAGGGTCAACCAAGATATTAGCCTTAGAAAGTGCACAGTCTAGAATAGCTTCCATAACTCTCTCTTTGTACTACTATATATGCACGTATTTGTTCCTATAAAGATATAGAAAATAATTCTCTTCTTTTTATTAGGGGGTCCTAAGAAGAAAGGTATGGACATTTAGCAATTCCCATTATATATACAATTTTACACACAATTCTACATATACAAATCATGTAGAAGGAAAAATCTAAATCAAACCAAGAAAGAAAGCTCCATTAGATTCAAGTCTCTAAAGCTCTGAAGGTCTTTTCGCCAAAGCCTATCAATCTCCATAAAGCATGAAGCTCGGAGGATCAAATCAAAGTTTATCGTGAAACTTACAAATTTAGTGTCTTCTATTAAATTGATAAAGATTCTGCAAATCTGGTTTGAGAATAAAGTGATCAATCCCTCAAGTCAAAAATCTACAAATTTGTCATCTTCTTCACAATACTTGGAGAAGATATCACCATTTGATTCGGGAACAAGATGTCAAGCACTCGAATCAATTTTTTTAAGAGAAGAATCAGATGATTATTTTCTTTTATTAGAAAAATCATCAGAGATTGTACTCGCATTATGCAAATTAATAAATTTATAATTGTTACTTTATTTTGCAGATAATAAATTTGAGTGTACATCATCTATCCTATATAATCTTTAATTGGCCTTTGAATTTTGGCATTTAGTATACATTATTGTTCCAATTTCTTTCATAAGTTGTTTGTGTCCCACATAGCATATTTTTTAAGTTGGTTAGGATTAGTTTTTCCAATTTTACATTTTGGTATGTCACTAGATTGAGCGTTGGTTTATTTGTCACATTAGACTATAATCTGTTGTGTCGGTCGTCCTTGTTATTTTATTAAATAGGTTGTCCGTTCACTTGTATATATACCGAGATATTTGGTTTAGGTGTATCTTGAGCTAAAGGTTGTAGCCCAATCATACCTGGTTTGGGTTGTGATCATTAATTTTACAAGTAGATTGAACATAGTATATTAAATATGTATGAGTATGTAACAGAGAAGAGAGGAGGGGGAAGGGGGGTGTATTTGACTTGGAAAATGTTAAAATACAACTTTTTATACAATTCATAGAGAACAATATTGTAGTGATATTTTTACCAATATGAAACACAATGATGCACTTACTATTTCTTCAACAAATTGATCTAAATAAATTTACACCATTCTTATTCAAGATTTTTGTACATAAATTTTTTTTGGATGTCACCCATTTGGCTCATTGTCTCCTTTCCATTTGGTTGTGTTGTTACCAAGTCTATTAGACAAAGAACACAAGCAGTGAACTTTTGTAATATAAATGAAATAAAATGGCTTGAACTACGCAACAAATAATATTAGTAATGTGCTAAAACATACAGAATTCTTAGAAAAAGGAAAGAAAAGAAAAACGCTTATAGAATGATGTGGCAGTGATTGATTTTGCAATTATTAACTACAGTGGTGGGTATTTTTATTTTCTATGAGTGGATATGAATGGGCTATATCATTTGGTATAATATTTTTATATATAAATTTTGTTGAATGATGATTGTGAACTAGTTTTATGTGATTAGAGCCATCAGGCATGGATATGCTATGGAAACTACTACTCTAGTCCATTATATTCTAGAAAGCACGGTCAATACTACTTTCCATAACCCCAAAAATCCATCTCTCCACGCAATGGTAGTTGTTGATTCATTTGGTGGTGCATTGATGATGATGATGATGCATTTGCATCCTCAAACCTCACACCTTTGGATGAGCCTTCGTCATGACCAAGATGAGGAGTAGTAGTTACAAGTCTATCGAGCATTAATCCCCATTCATTCAAATTATCATCTCTTCCAGGCCCAGCAACAGCAATCATATTTTGAGATGAACCTTCACATGTCCCAACCTCTAACCCTGGCTCGCTAGCTTGGTACTGAAGGTTCTCACTCCCACCACTTTCACAATCTCTAGGGTTTGACATTAGTTGTTTTAGCATTATTGGTGAATCTGAAGGAAGAGTTGAGTAATCAACGTAGCCCATCGACTTATGGGTTGGAGGGGGGATAAAATTCTGGGCTTGAAGATGGTGATGGGAAGGATAAGGTACCGAAATAGGGATGTGGATGGGGTTGTGAGAATAGTTAAGGGCAAGTTCAGACTTGTATAGATCAAAGGTTTGTTGGCTTCCATGTACATGTGTGTGCTGCTGCTGCTGCTGCTGCTGTTGGTGTAGTAGATACAAATCGTCTCTGCTGTGCCTATGTGTAAAGAAGGTACGGGGCTGAATCTGATTCGGCGCATTTGAGTCATTGTTGAGCTGATCTGGGGCTATACTAATACTATTAGCTCCTCCTCCTCCTTCATTTCCAATCTTGAATAAGTTCTTCTTCTTGAACACTCTACAAACCACCCACCCATCCTCCTGCAAATAAAATGCATGCATGATCATGAGAAGCGTACTAAATTTAAAACCATCTTGTGATGCTTATTGTTAATTGGGGAGAGAGGGAGCGAGTTTATATAAATTGGTATAGTAATTGCCTAGTATGTTAATTAGCCTCGTCATCATCCTATATTTGGCCCATTTATGTACTCATATAATTTCTCACTTTTCACGTTACGAGATGTCAATGCTTACCTTTATTTTGTGGCGGCATTTCATGCTTTCCTTTTGTTGGTTCCTCACCAACTGACTCTTAGAGCTTTGTCTTAGCTCCAAGCTCCTTTTTATTGATGTATCTTATCATACTTTGTATGTTTTCATCAATAAAAATTTTTTTACCGATCAAAAAAAATAATGCTTACCTTTATTTTTTGATTAGTAAAAAATTTTTATTGATGAAAAAACAAACAACTTGCAAAGATACATCAACAAAATGGGGAAGTGCATTAAGCATCATAGCTCCATAATCCCAACTAGGTTGGGTGCGTATTATTTGATGTCAATGCTTACCCTTTATTTGATGATCATATTATTCATATATATATATATATGGCTCTGAACCATTTACGTTTTTACAAGGTTGGGTGCGTAAACCGGTAGTCTTTATTGCCCAAGCCTAACTCTTCGCTCCATGCTCATTTATATATAAAGATTGAATGGGTATGCTTTGCATCTGGGTTCATGCATTGAAAGCTTTTGCAGGTCAACATTATAAGAGCAATCACATTTTAATTATCATTTGATATGTATTCAATATGACTGGACATTAAGAAAATTTATGAAAGACATTGTATCAATGATGGTGGATGTTCTGCCACATAAATAAAATTTAATTAGAAAAACATGATCATTCTAAAATTATTGCATGCATACTTGGTGTTTGTTGTTCTAAAGTTGAAAAAAAAATTACACACATGTAGTCAAATAAAAAGAAGAGAAAAATTGGAGGCACCAACTTTTAAAATTTTCCCTTAGTCGTTAGTCAGAAAATCATACCTCTATTCATAACGAGCGCTCTCATTGCAGTCAAAATCATGATATCCCACGATACTACTCTAATATTTTGAGGTCGCCCAAAGGGATTGGGCAATAAGATTGTTAGTCCCAAACTTAGAATATCAAAATGCACTAAAATATTTATCTTTTTAACCCGTTAAAGTTCAAGGGGTTGTAGATCAATTGCCTCTTAAAGAGCATAGATCCAGTTCTTTAGTTTGTCGATTTTGGGTTGACTTTCAAACTAGCTTGTATGTTGAGATAATCTTACTATATCAATGCTATCCATTAGGAAAGTTTATCTAATAGGAAAATCTAAACCAATAAAAAAAGAGAACCGCAAGACAAATCTTGTCTTGAGATGGGGTCTTATTCTTACTAGAAGAGAACACTTTTTTTTGATCAACAACAAAGAACCTTTATTGATGATGGAAAACCTTACATAAAGGAATAGAACATCAACAAAAAAAGAGGGACGATGCAAGCCATCACATGGCAGCACCAAACCAGCAAGACCCTGTTGGTGAGAAACCAACAGAGACAGCAACCTAGAAGAGAACACTTATCACTATATATAAGCCATAATGGCAATCAATTCATAAGAGAGAGAGAGAGAGAGAGAGAGAGAGAATTGGATTTCTTACACTAGGGCTGTCTTGGCTGTCATCACCATCTTCAAGCCGGTACTCATGCATGATCCAATCAGTCTTCTGGCCATGGGGAGCTCTTCCTCGATAGAAAACGAGGGTTTTCCTCATACCAATCTTCTTGAAGCTATTCCTTATGCATTTATCCCTCCCAGTTGCCTTCCAAAACCCGACATTTGTTGCCCTATTTGTCCTTGAACCTGTCGGGTACTTTCTATCCTTGTGGCTAAAGAAGTACCACTCATTCTGTGGTGTCGAACCTATTTTACATCTCTCTGTATATACATGTATAAAGAGCATAAAATAATAATTAAGACCAATCTTTAAACTTATGTAAGTAGCATATTAAATGTTTTCAAAAAGATTGAGAAGAAATGAAGGGTCCAGTAGAGTGCATTATAATCAGAAGTTGCAAAGTGCAAACTTGCAAGGGAGAAGATTGTATTGTTTCAAAACCTTTACGATTGGATAGAAGTGTATGATATATATATATATATATATTGCTTTTTTGGGTTAAGATATGTTACTTTGTGTCTACTTCTCTTTTGTTGAGAGATGGTACTCTCTTCCTTTTCTTTTTTTTTGGTATTATTTTAAGTTCTTTAATGAAATTGTAATTTTGTAATAAATCTTCATCAAAAGTATTTTAAAATGAATCTGAGGTTATTTTAAGTAATCTATACTATATATTAAGCAAAATTGAGTTTTTAACCTCAATGTCAGTGGGAGTTTCAATATCCCAATCTGAATTTTTTAAATTTTTTATTTTTTAAAAAACAAACTCAGCATTTATTGATTTGGTCAAAATCTCCTGACCAGCATTTATTAACTTTTTTCAATCCACATGTCTTTCCACATGCCTGCATTTATTGATTTGGTCAAAATTCTTTGATCAGCATTTAAAATCCCTTCATACAAATAATTATAGATACAATCCGTGTATAGTTACTCCAGTACCCTTTTCAACTTCTCTCATACACTATGGTTAGTGATAAGATTGTTAAATTATTTTTATAAAAAATATTAAAAAACATAATTTATATATTAAAAAAAATCTAAAACAAATATAAATATCTATAATTATCCCGTACATAGTACGGGTGATAGGCTGTGATAGGCTAGTAATATTATTATATGAAAGGCATCCATAGAGTGTAAAAATAAATCAATTAAGCATAACTTCTGGCCCACAAAAACAAAATCAAAAAAGAAGAAGAAGATAAAAGGAAAACGCAATAAGTGGGGTTTTCAAGTAACGACATGCGTTATTTTCCAATGGTGTACTTTATGAATTACAAATTTTGAATTCTATAGCATGCATGTATCCTCTAAATTGGAGGCTCCAATAAAAATGGAGCCATTAAAAAATAAAGGACTGAAAGTTAAATACGTATAATTCAATTCTAATTATGATGTTACATATAATTAAAATGAATAGGCTTATCCAATAATAATTAAACACAGTAAGATACTACGGATTGTCACATCTGTGGGACATCAACTTTATAATGTGTTTGTGTTTCAATAATATACATGAGACTGAGACATGTTTTACATGATGCATAGTGCAACTTGTGTATAACTACACCATGAATGATGTGCATGATGAAATAGAAAGATTTCCTTTGCATATGCAAATTTTAATTCATGCTAAATTTGAAGTAAAAGGGCAAAAAGGGATAGTTGTTTAAGCCCCAAAACACAGTCAATTAGGTGGTTTAAGGGTTGCTGTGTTGTCTGCTCTGGTTTTGGTGTTATAGTGACTTTCCTATTTGGTTTTCCTTGTTTCTTTTTTCTCTGTTTTGTTGGCTCGTTGGTTTCTCACCAACTTGGAAGTTGGAGCTTGTTTTTAGCTCCAAGCTCCTCTTTATTGATGTAATTTTTCTTTTTCCATCAATAAAGTATTCTTTTTGTCGATCAAAAAAAAAATTAGGTGGTTTAAGGGTTTCTTAAACCATTATTAAAAAATTATTACAAACAATCTTAATTCATAGATATTTGCCCCTCTCTCTCTCTCTCTTTGATATTTGCCTGATTACTAAGTGATATTTACAACAAAAAATAAAATAAAATAAAATAAAAATTAGCACCTTACCAACTTATTTAAAAATTTAAGCATCCTCACGTGTAGTCAGAATTTTCTTTATAGCAAGCCAAGTACATACAAACATTTTTATTTATCGAATAAGCAGTGAGATTTGAACACAAGATCTATTGCATGGTCTAACACTATATTGAATTTTTGACACCGATTTATCTAAAAACTTAAACTGTTAAAAGAAGAGTTACTTTATTATTTATCTTATGTTCTCTACATGTGTTTGGATGCTAGAAAAGAAAATTATGATAATTTATGGATATATATAGAAATATATATAAACATATCAATACCACTTTTTTTAACTGAAAAATCAAACATTATTGTAGTAATACTATATGTTTAGATTTTTTTTTTTTTTTAAATGTGTAAAGTAAATTGATTCCTGTATGGTCCACTGTACTATATATTTTATTTTCAAATCACTTTTATACCAGATATATATATTTCTTTTTTTGATCGACAGATATATATATATTTCAAAGTAGAGAGTTTTTCTCATATTATTGTGTTAATAATAAAGAAAGAGATAGTGCAAAAAAAACTGAAAGTAATAAAGTTGTGACTACTACAAGTTTATCTACGTTTGTTTATACTTTTCAGATAAGAACTATGTTATGTAAATTTATTCAAAAACGAAATCCTTTTTAAATCAGAATAAAATTTGAATTTTTTTTCTATTTTATTTGATCATTACTTTTTTAATTGAATCAAATTCATTTCTATTTGAAAATAAATGGTAACTTTATAAGAATTGAACCAAAGAATTCGCCAATTATAACAACTATCTATAATTTTTTTTCTAGTGTAATTAGGGTTTAGATTAGCAGGTGAGGTGAGTAAATTAGTAGTAGTAAGTAAGTAAGTTTACCTTGGAGGTCCCATGGCTCAATCTTATTCAAATCAACCTCTCTGATGACCTCCATGTCAAACTTTTGAAATGTAACCTTCTTCTTCAAGTAGTAGTGAAGAAGCTCTTCGTCGGTCGGGTGGAACCTGAAACCCGGGGGAACACCACCACTTGATGAAGCCATCGCCTTCACCTTCACCTTCACCTTCACCTTCACCTTGGATCAAGTTATAGTAGTCTCTGTCTCTATCTCTTTCTCTTTCTCTTTCTCTCTAGAGATGTTGAAAATAGGTAAGGTATATTGATAATATGGAAGGAACAAAGGGTTGGGAAATCATTAGATGCTGTGAAAAGGCTTATATATCTCATCTCATGAGTCATGATGGGCCTATGCAGTGGAAGTCAAGGGCCGAGAGAGGAGGAGGAGGGTGTTGAAATGTGAGAAAGTTGACGGCCGGTGACTACGCCGCCGGAGAAGCTTAAAGCTATCGTAAAAAGCACGTCCAAGGAATGAACATGAATGAATGATATATATATATATATATATATTTATATATTAAACAAGGAGGATGGAGAAGAATTTGCAGTGCTTTACTTTTTCAGCTCCATGTATGTAACGCCGACATCTCTACGCGCACTTCTGACTAGCGTGACCTTCACTGCAACTGCCTCTATCATTTCAAGGAAACATTTTCGTTACGTAGGAAACACTTCGTTACGTATTTTTGTATTAAATGTTACAAATTTTTTTTTTTTTTAATAGAAGTTATAATAATTTGTAATTTAAAAATTAAGCTACGCACATATTTTTGTAATAGGAGTGGCTTATGTCTAGTCCGATTACCGTGCTGTTGGGCTCGTGGAGGCTCATCATAAGTCCCGCTTTGATAATCTGAACCGTTCAATATGTAGAATTCGTCAAGTACTATAAGTTTGTAAAAAATCACGTTGATCGGATATCGATAGCTATGTGATCAAAACAGATTTTTGTCAACCGTTAATTTATTCACCATTCATTTTTTTTATACAAAACTGATTTGATCACAAAGCTATCGATATCCGATTAACGTGAGGTTTTTATAGGTATATAGTACTCGACGAGTTCTACACATTGAACAGTTAAGATTATCAAAACAGGACCCGTGGAGGCCCAATAGCACGGTCCAGTCCGATTAAGGACTGGACAGAAGCCATGCCCTTTTGTAATAATGTACATATTTTTTTTAGGATGAAGTATCAATATATCCCAAAATGTGATATTGTGAACAGTTTAGTCCTTTCTTTTTTTTTTTCTATGAATCTAAAAGTCTCATTAAAATAGAAATGACACAAAAGAGTAGTCACTTACAGGTTTGGATATAATTTTTTAGGGATAAAAGTGGATTTTTTTTTCAAATATAAAATTACATATTTGGTTAATCTGTATTATAGAGGTTTTAGATTTTTCATTTTTCCTCTTTATAGAACAAATCTCACATTATAAACAAAAACATAACAATTCAATGTAACACTCCAATAACATAAAATTTTAATGTAACACACTAAAAAACTTCTTGGTTTACTTTTTCCAAACGTAACGACGTAACATTTCAAAAAAACTTGTTAATGTAGTTTTCCTAAACGTAGCACTCTAATTTAACGTGCAAAAAAAAATTCTTAGTGTACTTTTTCCAAACGTAACATTCCAATTAATGTAATCTCAAACTAACAATCTAATGTAACACACTAAAAAAAATTTTAATGTATTTTTTCCAAACGTAACTATTGGCTACATATTTTGTATAAGCCAATTACAATTCAATACGTGGCAAGTTGAGGGTAATACGGGAAGACAATTCAAACATTCGATCATGATCGTACACATGGCAGTTAGTATTGGTTTTCATAAGATCTGCGTAGTACTGGCTCAACAAAAAGATGTAAAGTGATGTGACTTCAACAGTTACTCACATTTAAATTTAAAATCAGGAGGGAAGCCTAACTGTAGGTATTGGCATAGTGGAGCTAACTATAAGGCAACATGATCATCGATCATGAAGGAGCGGTTCGACGGTTAGAAGTGCAGTTCGATGGTTATCCTCGAGCAGTATAAATAGCAGAGAAAGCCCTAGAAAAAGCCCCAGACTCAGATCCAAAAAAACCAGTTTTATTCTACTTTATTTCTTTTCCAGTTTTTTACATTTCTTGTTCTTTACATTTCTGTACTTCAAATTCCTGCACTGCATTTCATTCATAGGAGTAGTTTTCAAGTAGTTTGTTGCTGTAAACCTCTACGAGGCTGATTCGGATCTTTGTAAGTCTTTCATTTTACTTAATGAAATACTACAACTGTTCTTCCATTAATCATTGTTTGCTTAATTCTCCTAAACAAAGCCACTAGTAAAAGTCCTCTTCATTGAGGCTAAAAGAACTAAAACATAATCGTCTGATAATTGGTTGGCAATTAACATTCTGTAAGGACTGATTGATCCTTACTGGCACGCTCATAATTATAAAAATAACCTTCGAAAGCCAAAAAAGCCTACAGTAACATTCACAGTTTAAAATTATACATTTGCCCAAAACTTACTAAGGAATTTTTGTACACATTTTAGAATAGTTTGAAGAATCACACATTCTTTTCTAGTAGTTTAAAGAATCTCGCATCTTTTTTTTGGAGTGTTACATTGAAGTGTTACACTAAAGAGTTTTTTTTTAGTGTTACGTTCAGGAAAAAAAAATACACTAAGAATTTTTTTTTGAGTGTTACATTTGAGTGTTATAATTTAAAATTATATATTTGTCCAAACCTTATTGAGGAGTTTTTGTATTCCTTTTGAAATGTTTGAAAATCTCACATCCTTTTGGAATATTTGAAAATTTCATATTTTAATTCATTTTTGTACTCCTTTCGAAATGTTTTATAAAAAAGATTCTCATATAAGAATTCATCCCAAATTTGATTCACATAGATTGTATATCTTTTCTTTCTAGCACTAAAGAAAAAAAATAAAACAAAATAAAACAAAACAAAAAAAGAGAGAAGGAAACATAATAGAAATAAGAGTATAACTATAAATTCAATTTTCAAATAACATATGAAATCTATCTTTCCAAAATCAATGGGACTAATTGGTCTATAAGAAAATTATTAGAACTAAATGAAGGGTGCCTCTATTTATACACTACATTTGGTCTTAAGGCACACCACTACTCAGTTCACACTTTTAATAATTTGAAAAAACATAATTTTTCTCAACACACACCACAACATTCCATTTTTGCCCTTAGTCCCACACCACTTAGTACACATCTCAGACAACCTGTCTATATATATTTATTTATTTATTTCTGCCATCCCATACTTAACATCATAACACTATACTACACTACGCAACCTTTCACACTAACCAAACCAACCATTCAAAAAACAGAAAATACTAGTAGTTGTATTATCACAACTTAGAACAAGAAGATGATGAGACTTGGCACTAACAGTTATGTTTCATCGACAGCAAGGAAGATGATCGGAGCAAGCTACGATGTAGCGGAGGGCGTCAACATAAGGGGACGATACAACAAAGAGTTTGCAAGGATTTTGACAAAGGATGCTTTATGATTCGTCACTGAATTGCAAAGGGAGTTTAGGAACCATGTTAAGTATGCAATGGAGTGTAGGAAGAACGCCAATATGAGGTATAATGCTGGGGCGCTGCCAGGGTTTGATTCGACTACGAGGTGTGTGAGGGATGGGGATTGGATGTGTGCGCCTATTTCGCGATCTGTACTCTCGCCATCTATGAGGTGGTGGGGTTGAGGGAGGGTTAACAACGGCTAGGGTTTGTGGTGATGGGGATTCGTTGGAGCTGGAAAGGGGCAATGAGGCAGTGGCGGTGAAATGGCAGCGGCTGCAGCAGTGGTGGCTAGGGTTAGGGTTTGGATATGTATTCAACTAAAGTGTGTATTCAGTTGTCGTCATTTTGGTCATTTTAGATAAGGTTATTATTGTAATAAAAAATAACTAATTAATGGTGTGTCTTGAGATCGAATATGGTGTGTAAATAGAGGCATCCCTAAATGGATCACCATTCCTCAAGATGGGATTTGTAGGTAAAATTTTCATTTTTTTATTCAAATATCTTCTAATCACAAAATGTGTAACAATATTACAAAATATGTAATACTATCATAAAAATGCATTAAATCATTTCTCAATCATAAATTACCGTAATTCTTATAAAAAAAATACCTAATTTTTAATCAAAAAATATATAACATACCATAAAAGTACATAATAAAATACATATAAAGAGTGTGTACTATGAAATTTCCATCTTTTCACTTCACGCATTGTTGGTTGAAGTAATTCCCGGAGTATCCACTAACCTTAATTGTTGGTTGAAGTAATTCCCGGAGTATCCACTAACCTTAACTTTGGTTATATGATAAGTGAAAATACTAGTAGTAATGAGGAGGGTGAGATCTCGTTTGGAAAGAATATATTTTAGTTAAGGAGGAGGATTCCGTTCGGTTTAGAATTTAGATTGGAAGGCGTTGTTTCAGTTTGTGGAGTCCACTAAAGATCCCGTTTTAATGATTCAAATCGTGCATTTTGTCGGATACTTCATGTATTTCATCTAAAAAAAAATTAAGTTGATCCTATAATTGTAACTAATTCAATTTATTGCATTCGTCATAAAAAAAATCTATGGTTTATTTTTTTTGTTTTCCATTTTTTTTTTTTTTTTGTGAAAAATGCAGTAAATTGAATTAGTTACAGTTATCGGATCAACCTCTTTTTTTTGTGATAAAATACATGAAGTACCCGACAATCAAATCAGTCAACTTATCTCTCAAAGATAACAACTCAATCACAGTACTCACAAAGTAAAACATATTTAAACCCATGGGGTACCTTACTTTTATAGTCAATAGTTCCCTCGTCCTCTAGAAGTATTACTTCATAGGACTCTAACCTTTACAGAGATTACGTCTATCACAACTCACACTATTTAGATTAAGACAAACCTTCTCAAGAGTCTCATATCTATCCAAACAAGTAGCTTGATATCATCTAGGAATCTTGATCCTCTGTTCAAATATCTCAGATTCCGATATGATAGCATCATATCTCGACATCTCGGTGTGGCATCTCGGCTACAACATTCAACACAATTTGAATTTCAATATTTCTCTTTCTCATTGAACTATAAATTTCAAAACACAAAAGTACATATAACAGTTCATAGTTCACTAAGTTAGAGAAAACAAAACCATTGTCCATTAGGT